ATGATATCCTTCTCTTGGAGAAAAAAACCTAGGAAAAACTTAAATTAGGGAGGTCTACATTGGATTCTAAAGGCCTTCTTTTGAGTAGAACCAAAATTGAATATATGGAATGTAATTTTAGTATTACTTGCTCTAGTGATAGAAGTGTAACTTTGGGTGATCAAATTATTAAAAAGTGTGATCAATTTTGGTATCTAGGGTCTATTGTTCAAAGCGATGGTGATATAGATTGAGATGTTAATAGTAGAATTCAAGTTAGTTGGTTGAAGTGGAGGAATGTTTCGGGCTTATTGTGTGATAGAAAAGTACCGCTTAGACTGAAAGGAAAATTTTATAAGATGGTGGTGAGACTTGCAATGCTCTATGGCGTTGAATGTTGGCCTTTAAAAGAGAAGTATATTACTAAGTGTTGTCGAGATGATAATGATCATATGGATGAGTTGCTTTACACTTAGAGGTAAAATGTGAAATGAATATATTTGTGATAGGGTTGGGGTAGCTCCAGTGATGGACGAAATTAGAGAGAGCCGTCTTAGATGGTTTGGTCACATTAAATGTCGACCATCTGATGATCCGATTAGGTGAGTAGATGTTTTAAATTCAACTTATGTTAAGAAAGGCAAAGGTAGACCTAGGAAAACTTGGCATATCTTATAAAAATAGATCTTAATTTATTAGAATTAAATGAAAATATGACACTTTTTAACAATCTTTATATCTAATACTTAAATTTTAATATTTACATGTATAAAACTATAATCTTTAAATCATCTGAAAATTATCTTCATAACCTCTTAGACATATTTTCTTATATGATTTGATGAGTCACCAACAAATTTTCATCATCCGACACAAATCTCGAGACAACCTGTTGAGCAAGAAATATATAACTTCAATTAAGAGTCATCCATAGCTCGGATTTCAAAAAACTTATAGTCAAGTTGACCGACTCGATGAGACAAACCCAATGATATAAAAAGTAGTTCAATCTGAGTCAAATTAAGCTAAGATCAAGTTATTAAACCACTCTTGAAAGATTTTCAGACGCATTTGTAAGGTCAAATTGATGTCAAATCTAACAAGTTAATAATCAAATCGAGTTCTCGACAAGACGAATCCAACGAGCTCAAGATTGCTCAACTCCAACATTGTTAAGGCACTACACTCAAATGACCATCAAACGTCATATGATTAAAGGATGCTCTCTGAACAGTACAATCAAAATGATTCATATTTTCCTGCATTAATTACACTAATAACACTATAAATAGAGTGGCACTCAAATGACCACCAAACGTCATATGATTAAAGGATGCTCTCCAAACAGTACAATCAAAATGATTCATATTTTTCTGCATTAATTACACTAATAACACTATAAATAGAGTCTCACCCCTCACATGATGGGCGAGCTTAAATAGAGCCTCACCCCTCACATGATGAGCGAGCTTGAGCCTTAAGAAAAACTCGAGGCTTTGAGAAGGAGCTGAAGTCTAGTACCATCTCTACCATCATCGACCGCCGCTGGCAGCTGTCGATCTTCGTTGGCCGATCTCCGTCAATCACCACCAATCTCTGTCGACCACCACCAACCAAAAGACATCAGCCGACGTTGTTACTTAGAAAATCTAGTAACCATTTCCCGTCCGTGAAACAATGAGTTTCTATAATCATCAACATATAGTGGATTTTTACAACTTGGTTAGCCCCCGTGTTTTTTTCCTTTATCGATTTTTCCACGTTAAAACTTCTAGTGTCACTACTGATTATTTTCTTTCACCTGAGTGCGTGTTGAATTCTCATGTAACGCTAAGGCGATAATTCATTACTGTACAACCATGAATTTTCTAGCCCCCCCATCATGATTCAATCTCAGGAAATTCAAAAACATATTATATAATTTTTTTGTACTTACATAAATAAATACATGTATAACATTTCAAAATTATATTTATATGAAAAAAAACACACAAAAGATGCATTATGTTTTAATAAAAATTAATAATAATGTAATATTAGAGATTTGGATGAAATATGTAGGGTCGGAAACAGGTTACATGTAGAACTGCCCACAATGAAATTTAGGAGTTCTCTCTTTCTCCATTCTTTACAACGATGTCGACGATGACTTCTTCAAAGTCAGTTTAGCGCACGAGGACCACGTGCTCTTTCAGCGGGGGCTTGGTGTCAGCACAGCGGGCGCTTCGCTTTCAATACACTCCATTTGTATAATACGAACAGGTTCGCCCCCACAACGCCGCCGCTCCAGCCGACCTCGCCTCGCTTATCTTATCTCAGCTATTATTATTATCTAGGCAAACTAAATTGTTTTTTAATTAGAGCATAATTTTTCCAATAAAAAAATTGTGTTTAAGGATTTATAAATGTTAAATTCCTTCATGATATATAACTAAAAGGATTAACTTCAACAATAATATAGATTATATCATTTGATGCACATAGTCAATAATTTTTTTATCATCTAGCACGAATCTCGATGTAATTTTTGAGTAATAATTGCATCGATCAGACTAAATTCGCACTAGTACTCATCCTGATTTACATTATCAAGACTTAATGGGTGATGAACTAGTCTAGCTGCAAATGTAGAAAATACAGTTCATTTCATAATTCATTCACATTCACATATATTTAGAGGTATAGGAAAATCATTTCACCAAAATATATATACATTGCTACTAACTCTAACATAATAAAAGTTTGTGCCTAAGAGTTGTACACATTACACTTGAGTACTTGCCCTGGTGCTCCAGCAAGCTAGAACAATTGAAAAAATCATCAGCCAACAAGGAAACATAGAAATTTTAGAAGTCGTCGACTCTTGAGGGTGCATCTGACGCAATGACTACAAACTAGTAGGCGGCATTAAATCTTGGCTTTCCACCAAATTAGAGACTATGGAGGAAGGCACGAGCATATAGGACGACCTAATGACATTCACAACCACAAATAGAGTTCCCCCAAGTTCTTCTCTAAAAGATCTGTCGTGACACGAAGGTGAGCCTCCCCTCAGAGCCTCCCCTCTTCTTCATCGTCAGCTTCTTAATACAACCACCCTTGGGGTGTCAATTGCCATTTTCTTTGGCAAAAAGTTCATGAAGAACTTTACTCAGGATGGGATCTCGAGATTTGTGATGTGTAGGATAAAGGAAAAGGAGCAAGTTGAATTGAAAAGAGACTACCACCTATTTGTATGCAACAAAGTGCACGAAAATCAAAGAAGAATCAATTACTAAGAATTAATTAAATAAATAAGAATTTTATCCTTATTGCATTCACTTTTCTCGCTCTTATGGTAACTTACAACCCATTAATGTATACGAGAATCGATAAATTAAATATGTATTATTACAATATATCGAACCAAATGTGACGACCTTGGATGAAACACGTGTCCAAATGTTAGCCCCAATGAGCGCAAAGAGGTCTTAGGCGGGACTGAGCAAATTATCTGGTCGACCAAGCTGAGAAGTTTGACCGAATAAGCAAATGAACGACTCGTCGGCATAGGAGCAAGCGAACCAATGCTCTGATAAGAAATAAATTCAGCGGAACTGACGATAATCTTGACGGTTACCATTAACAAGCAGCTACAGAAAATCTCGAAAGCATTACGATAATTCATAGTATAACTTTCATTTACTATAAATATGAGAATAATAACAAGTTAAAGTGAGTTTCTTAAAAGGCCCGATGGGATTACTAACTTTTGCTCTCCTAAGATTCTTATCTTTGTAGATTCTCTTTTTCTCTCATTAGTTACACTCTATATTTCTTAGGTGTGATTCGCGGATAAATCTAGGTTCAATATATATATAT